AGCACATTGTTTGCTGTGGCCTTTCAGGTTTCTGCCCAGTGCAAGCTTGGCCCATTTCCCTTTCTTTTTATACAGTGCACAATCCATTTAGGGATTTATAAAGGCTTAGAGGCACATGTACAGTGCCTTACCTCTATCTGATTTTCGTTCTGTGATAAGAATGCTTGAGGTCATGGGTTCGTTGGCACTCCTTTGCTCTCCCCCATTCACGTTGCATTGAAATCCAATTATTCATTAATGTTTATGATTTCCTGTGGTTCGTCAGCATCCTCCTCACTATCTGCAGAAATCCCAGTGTTGGCTATGAGGAATGTGTGAGCCTAGCAAAGGGTGCAAGAGGGAACAGAGGCAGGGGCATAAAGGCAAACACGATAATAAAGTGCCAAAGCTATTTATGGTGAAATGTTTGGCCTCTATCAACAGTGGCAAGATGTTCCATCATCTTGAACTCTGGGTCATTTGCTGATCTTTAACAGTGAATCTTCCAGACGGTCCTGTATCTAACAAACACGAAGAATCCAGCTGACATATTTCAGTACATTTCTTAGGTAAGCAATCTGAAGTAATGGCTTCAAAAATGCCTCTGACTTCATAGTTAGCCTAAATTTTAGTCTCTGACAACTTCCATAACTGAATCCGCTAAACATTACTCCGGCAGCGTGCCCTGGAGACACAGAGTGCCATTTCTGAAAGAACCAGAGCTGCATAGGGTAAACAACTTCTCAGAAGTCAAACAGCATCACATCAATTGTGCAGGTGCTTTTGTGCTCCTCCAGCTACTACAAACATGAATCACAGCAGAGATGCATTGACACATTCATCCATATTTGCATTAAAAGCTTTTGGACGAAGGCAAGGACCCATTAGGAAGAAGTTAGAAAATGTAAATGCTATGGAGTATTTTATGTGTGGCTGTTGCAGGCTGATCCAGGGATATTTTGCACTCTGTATACTGTATATTAGTGTGCCATTTTAAGCTTTATGTAACTAACTGAAGAAGAGAAGGTCGAGTTCATGATTTGTGTAGAGTTGTCACAGAATCACAGAGTCACAGAATCACCCGGGTTGGAAGGGACCTCAAGGATCATGTATTTCCAACCCCCCTGCCTAGCAGGGCCACCAAACACACACAATCAGATCAGGTTGCCCAGGACCCCGTCCAACCTGGCCTTGAACACGTCCAAGGACGGGGCATCCACAACCTCCCTGGGCAGCCCGTTCCAGGGCCTAACCACTCTCCTTGTATAGAACTTCCCCCTAACATCCAACCTAAATCTTCCCTCCTTCAACTTGGATCCATTTCCCCTAGTCCTGCTGTTGTCAGCCCTTTTGAAGAGTTTACTCCCCTCGTGGGTGTAGGTTCCCTTCAGGTACTGATAGGCTGCAATGAGGTCACCCCGCAGCCTTCTCTTCTCCAGGCTGAACAAGCCCAACTGCCTCAGCCTGTCCTCATAGGGGAGGTGCTCCAGCCCCCTGATCATCTTAGTCGCCCTCCTCTGGACCCTTTCCAAAATCTCAATGTCTTTCTTGTACTGAGGGCTCCAGACCTGGACACAGTACTCCAGATGGGGCCTCACAAGAGACGAGTAGAGAGGGACAAAAAAGTTGTCATTGTGTTAGGCACGTACACTGCACTTCTGCTTTCCTGTGATGGCTGGTGGCTTGCATGGCTGCTCTTCAGAGTAGAATTCTACTCCTGGCAAGGTCAGAATCTTAGTATACATGAGTCAATGTCTTTGCTATTGTTTTGAGAATAGTTTGGTTACAAACAGAATCAAGCAAATAGTTGACTTTCCTTTGGTCAAATGGAAAAAAGTACTTTTTTTTCCCCCTCAAAATGTGTTTATTTTACAAACTGTTTGATTCAAACTAGAATAATGTGGTTGGGTCAAGTAGAATGAAATATTCACTTCTTGGATGTTTCTCATCATCACTTGTGTGTGAAAAAGACAAGAAATACAGGATTCGATTCCTAAGCAGCCTGGTAAACATGTGTAACTAAGTCAAAGTGCAAAGTCCCACTGAACTCCTCTGAAGGTCAAAGAGACAAAGCTCCTGAGCACGGGCAGCAGTGTCAGCCAGATGGTATCCACCTAACCTCCAAGCTCAGTAGGAGCTGGGGGCTGCATTCCAACTGAGGCCATGCCTCTATGCACGGGGTGGATGCACGGGCTGTCCTTTCCCTGGGCCAAGACTGGACTCACAAGGCAGTGCAGGGAACTGTCCTGGAGGCAGTGAGAAGAATATAAATGGTACATTTTCTGCTATGTTGTCCCTCTGGCCTGGCTCCATGTTCAGACCCTTTAGCAGAAGTGTGAGTGCAGGGAAAAGGAAGCAGTGTACAGCCATATGAGCACCCATTGATGCCAGCAGACATGGAGCTGGACTTTAGGACAACCCAGGACCGGAGTGAATAAAAGTCAACACTGAGAATTCAGGTATTCATTTCTGCTTCAGTAAGTGCTCTACATTTTTTTTTTACCTTCCCTGTACAGTTTCATTTCATTCAGTTGCCTGAGATTTACTTTTTTTTTTCATTGTAGATTAGCATTTGCATTCAGCTCCTACTTTAACCCAGATAAATCTGGTATCTGACTTCAAGCACACAAGCATTCCAGGAAAGATGCCTTAAGCCATTAAAAGGAAATACATTATCTTTCCTATTATGAAGCTCAACATCACTCACTTGTCTTCATCTCAATAGTCTATTCTTACTTTTTCATTTGCTCATGGATGAGGCTATAGACTGAATGTCTACAAAGGACTTGGTGTAAACATTTCACATTCTCCCCTGCCTGTAGAACTGGTACTGTAGTAATCAAAGGCAAAGGTATTGCAACTTTCAACTGACATTCTAAAATTTGCTTTGAGATTTTCCAGTGAATATTGTCCTATGCAGGTAAAAGGTTAGAACATATACTGTTATTTGGGAATCTAGAATGAAGGAGGTATGTTTAATTTTGTATCTGTGAACAGTCACTTGATGGGTGAACCGGAATAAATGTGAGCTTATCAAACCAAGTGGAATTAAACAGTGACTCACATTTACAACGTTTCACTTTGAATCCCTAGGAAACAATTCCCTTCCCAAACATATCAATTGGAAAACTTAAATAATAAATTCACTTGAGGAAACTGCAGTCATCTCAAAGTTAGTCTAGAAGCTGCAAAAACAGACTGATTTGTTGAAAATACTGTTCATTGCAAACTATTCCCAGAAAGCTTTCTTGTGTATTAGAAAGGGAATAGCACTTTAATAAAATCATAGAATCAGAGAATCATAGAATGGTTTGGGTTGGAAGGGACTTTTAAGATCATGTAGTTCCAACCCCCTGCTATAAGCAGGGACACTTCCCTCTAGACCAGGTTGCTCACAGCCCCATCCAGCCTGGCCTTAAATGCCTCCAGACTGGGGAAAACCACAACCTTGCTAGACAACCTGATCCAGTGCATTAAGAAGTTACAAAAATTTATTCCAAAGATAAGAGAAACTTTATACAGTTTATTGCAAAGACTGAGAAGTGATTTGATTAGAGCATACCTAATATCATTGGGTGAAAAGAGCAGCCATTAAGGTACCTTTTATCCCCACTGACAAGGACATATGGATCAGTGGAACTGAAAACAGATCATTTTTGAAGATAAGATGGGTACAAATTTGAGCAGCACCAGCAATAAACCTTTTAAGCAAACTAATGGTGACTGATTCCTCATCTCTTGAAGCCTGGGTGACTTTGTTAGCCCAGCAAATCATTAAACTGAATCTTCGTTGATGGAATGAAATTCCAGAGGTTTTCTATGTGTTGATTCTGTGGATCCCATGCCAGTGTAAATGCTCACTCAGGATAATAAAGCTATGGCAGCTTAGACAAGGCAGAGGTCTGTTCCCTAGAGTTTTTGGAAAGGACTTCCTTGAAGAGAGATGGGTGACTTGACAAGTTGCTCTAAAATAGAAACTCATGGGCAGAGGAAGTGCCTTGTAAGCAAAGGGGTGGATGGGATAAGGCTGTTGTTCCTCACCATGTGGTAGGAGCAATCGCCATGAACATTCTGACAAGGTGATTGTGAAGCCTTGTGGGAAGATGCGGAGTAGAAGGACAGTAAACATGAAACTGTGGACAATATAGCAAGAGAGGGAGCTCCAAACAAGTGAGCAACGTGGCTGGCTCAACCATGTGTTTCTGCCCATGATATTTTCAGTAATGAGAAGAGGAATTCTGTTAGCCCCACGAGACCCAGCACAGCAGCCCTCTGAGCTCTTCCACGGCTCTGGCGTACTGCTGCTCTTCTTTGATAGAATTCTTCCAAACAGCCCTGTGTTCACACTGTCCTTTTGTCCCACTGTCCCACTCTGTCCCCACTGGTATGCATCCCAGAGACTCTGCTCAACCATGAGGTATGTGACCCACACCTCGACAGCACTGACCTGTGCAGTCAGACCACCACTGATGGTTAAAGTATTCAGAAAAACACAGAGGATCAAAACACTATACGGCAGATCCAAGTGGAAATGAAGACTTTCTGCTGCAAACCAATATGTTTATTAACACTTTTTAATCTATTGAAATGCCTGTAACAAATGTTACTAATATACAGGTAAGTTCGGTGATTAAAAATGACTTATGACACCTGTCTGATCGGTTGCACTACTTTGGTTAACCAGACAGAAATACACTTGTGCCATTTATGATAGATACTAAAAAGGGTTCAATTTAAACCAATTAGTAAAATAGCTTGTTTGGATAAAAAATAATTGTTCTCTGAGAATACATGAACACTGCTAGAAAATCCCTGCCATCTGACGTAGAAGGATTTATAGGTTTAGTGGAAATTGCTTTCCCCACTGTCCAGATTAAATACTGCAGGATGATTTTTTGTATGAGTAAACATCCTTCCAATAACGATCAGACCGATAATGTCTTAAAAAGAGAAACAGGATCTACATTTTGGCTTTCTCCTTCTTGTATGGACTATTTCTGGACACAGAACCTTCAGGTAACATGTTGACTGTCCATAAAATGCATTTTAGCATCTTCCTGCTGTTCTGGGGATGGGTTTTATCCTCTGAATGCAGAGTCCACCTACAAGGAAAAGAGATACACGAGGTATACAAAAAAGGCAGGTGAGTTTCAATTTTTTTACATTTAAATAGCTACTGTTTGGACAAATACAATGTTAACGATCAAAATACAGTGCCTATCAATTGTTTTGAATTTGCAGATTGTGATCTATCGGTCAAAATATCCTCTTCTGCAGTTTTTGACAAGCAGTAAGTCCTAATGCATTTTCTATAGTGAAAATCACTGTTTCTTCCCCAAAAGTGGGGTTTTGAAATATCTCAAAGTTTGGAAAGGTGCAGAAAAGAAGCATTTGATTGTATTTATCAGGATTAAAATGTTGTAGAGTATTTATATAATAATGGAAAGGAAACTTCGGTGCTTGAGGATTGTTGTATTCACTGAAGATTAAATTAACTGGAGATGTGAATTGAAAAGAATCAGAATTTATTTTCTTCTTCCCATGCTGTTTGTTAATAAAGCTTTTCAGGAAAAAAAAATGCAGACCTCAAGAGTATAGTCAGTTATCAAAGGAAACTGAAAGAGTGTTGAGTGAAGATATGCAAAATGAATGAAAATATTCAGTTTACTCTTCCCTCTATTTCAAAAAGGATATGCATATGATGTGTTTCTCCCACTGTCTTTTAGTCTTTTAGGAAGTTTTGAGTTGAGGAAGCATTTGTTTGTTTGTTTGTTTTTTCCCTGCAACTTCGTTTTGATTATTTGCATTCTGTGTGGGGAGTATTTGAAATTTTGTATGAGGATTTTCATACTCAGACACATTACAAGGTATCTCTGGAGGAAAGAAAATCTTTTCTTTTTTTTTGGTAGATATAACTGACATATTTAGATCATTGTTGAAATGTTGTAAGCTTCTGCTTGTGAAAGGCTAAACCTAGGCAATCTCTGCTTTGCTCTGGTCACTGTTTCTGTTCTTTAATGACTCCAATTTGCCATCAGTACTGTGCAGAGCAAGGGGATAGAAATGCAGGACTACCACATTCCTGAGGAATTCAAGCCATTCCTGTTAGCTTTCAGGAAAAAAAAAATAAATGAAAAGTGAAAGGAAGGAAAGCATAGTGCCTTTTTATTTTCCAGGGTTCCTTGCTGTCACTGCTTAGGAAAACAAGGCAGAACAACTGCAGTGTCACAGTGGTACATGAGGGTCCCTGAGCCATCTTATACACAGGAAATGGTTTAAGCATTGATGAAACCTTCGTGGAGCTACAACTGGCAAAGTGGGTGCCCTGCTCATGATCAGCCCCCAGGGATGCATTGCCAGAGTCACTGTCTGGGGGGAATCTCAAAACCTCTGTTCTCCTTGAGGGTTCACGGCAGTGACGGTGGAGGTGGTATGCTGACTGTGGCAAAAGGAAGGCATGAGAAGCAAGGTGCTTCGGTTTGAACTGAGAAGCAGTCAGCAGGGAGGAATGTGTATATCCAGCCATGTTCTTGTCCAGCATCTTCAGCACCAGCTCCCACTGCACCAAGCACCAAGCAGCGGTGCCATTAAGTAGCAGTGTACCAAATCACAGCAGAAGCATTAAAATTGCATGAAAATGGAAAATAAATACCTATTCAGTTCACATGGGAGTAGCCCTTTTACCCACACTGGGAACACGTGGTATAATTGTGCTAGCACAAGCCTCTCAGGCTGCTCTGAGGCAGCTCCTAAGTCAGGCTCACCACCCTCACAGCACTCCCACACTGGCCCAGGAGCCATTTCTGGCCTACTTCTGCCTCAGCAGAGCAGTGCTGTTGCTGAGGAGGGCTGGAGGGGACAGGAGAGCAGCACTGGCTCATTGTCCATCAGCAATCCGTACAGTGCTTGCCTTCCCAGTACGGGATAGGCCACGCAAGATCAATAGTCTGACAGCCTTATCATTTATAAGAACAAAAAGATGGCTCTGGCCATCCATTAGTTTTCCTTCTAACTACAAGCAATGAAGCCTTCTGCCGTATGAATTATTCTCTGTGAACTCCTAACTTCTGATAATTACCTTCAGTGCCAGATAAACAGAAAATAGTAATAATAGTATTGTAGGTGTTTTTTAACCTCAGGATTCATCTGTTTTCTCCTATTCTTTGCTACCTGGTCTCTCTTCCATCCCAGCACGTGTAGGTGTATCAAACCCATTCTTCATTTCCTCTTGGATATATTCAGATCAAGCTTCTTAAATTTCTCAGCATAGGATGTTTCCCACTCCTTGGCTCTGTCCCCTCACATCTTTCCAGGGAGACAGACCCAGCAGGACTGGGTGCAGTATTTGTATGTAGATGCTGTTACTCCTGTTGACCTCCCGGCACTGTGTTCATAGTCTCAGTGGTAGTCCTGCAGTGGAGATCATGAGCACTCGACATGACTGGGCACCCAGGTGTAGCAGGACACAAGCCCTTGTCTAGAGGTACAGCCAGTCCTATTTGCTGTCACATGCAGGATCCAATATGTTAAAACACTGATTATATGAGACTGTTCTGAAGTAGCCATTTTTCCTTTGCATTTCAAAATAAGTGCCTTTTCCCATCACAGAAATGGAGCCTGGGAGAAAATCAGACTGCAGAAGGATTCTGTATAAGATCAGAAGAAATTTGTTATGAAGATTTCTCGTGACCATTTAGATGGTTTAGATTTGGTCAATGACTCTGCTCCCCTTTCCCTCAAGAATCAGCCCTGAAGCTCTTAAAGCGATTTACTTCATTGCTTCTTTTCAAGCACTGCTATTTCTTGCTCGACAAGGCTTGAGGCACCAGGATGGAAATCTACGGAGGCTTTTTCCTTCTGAAGAGACTCACTGGAGTCTGATAGAGCAAATCAATCTGAAGTGGGAAAGGCAGGTTCCACATGGCACAAAGCACTCAGACTAGCTTAGTTTGCACCCACAGCCTTTCTAGCTTCCATAGGTCATGAAGCCTCCCACTTGCCCACCTGTCAGAGCTCAGCACTAGCCACCAGTGCTGACAGGCAGACTGGGCACCTGCTGTAGATACCTGCCTCCTTAAGTGTGCTGCCAGTTTCCTGCTGTCCTTGAGAGAATTGTCCAGCTCTACTCCTGACTCTCACGTACAGGTGATGGAGGAAATATGCACTTTTGGCTTGTCTCTTTGGATGGTGATGTTCTGCAGGTGTAAACTTCCTCCAAAGAGACTCTCTTGCTCTAAACTCTAATTTCAAATAAAACCTCACAATTTTATCAACAGTTATTAGCCTCAAGGCTTGTCCTCTCATCTGCTCAAATCCATCTGATCCCACAGTCTTTGCTGTCCTGCTGATAGGGTGAATGGTGTGAATATGGGCTGCAGAATCAGACACCATCTTTGTCACAATTTTTGTCACTGCAGGTGCCCCAAAGGAGCCATTCTAGCATGAGGCAGGACAGGCTTGAAGTAGGATGAGCAGAGAGTCATGGTCCTTTGGGGACCAGGTTTGCAAGAGAGGAATTTTTCAGAAGGTTCCTAATAATTCCTGAGATAAAATTGATGATTCTTTGAGACACAAGACAAAGTATGGCAATTAAGTAACAAATAAGCACAGGTTGAAGTATATACATACAGTGACAGAAGCAGTCTAGAAAGTGTTACTGTATGAGACTTTCTACAGAGGCTCTCAACATTGTAATACATGGCCAAAATATCCGTATGCAAGTCAAAGACTCAACTACTGATTTCTGTTTATCTCTAGGACAAATCACCTCAGAAGAATTTCTCTTTAAATGGTAGCAAAATAAAAATAAATCGTTTCACATCTTGCAGACCTGCTCACAGTTTACAGTCAACCATGTGCAAATCCTGTAGAGTTTGCAAAGCTAAATTCATTCCTGCAACATTCACAGTGCCAAAACTCCTACAGATCCAATCTGCAACCCTGAATGCCAGCACAGGGGCTGTTTACTGTTCCCAACTGCTCAGGCTCTTGCAGAGCCACCAGGTTGTCTGGGGTCACAACAGCCTACAAAATCATTATGCCAACAAAATGGCCAAAGCCTGCATTGCTAATTAGACTTGCAGAATCTGCTAGAGAGGATGAGCAAAAGGAAAAGAAGTGGCCTGGAGCTGAGCCCAGGTTGCTCTGCTAGAGCTAACTCCTGGGGGAAAAAAAATCTCTTTTAACACCAAAATCTCCCTGGAAAGGATTGTAGCCACCTTTTAGACAAGAAACTCTCAGTGAAGAGATTTCGCTGTACAAGATTTATGGCTTGTGTTTAATCTTAGCTGAGAGATTTGTTTCATGTTTTCAGTCTTGCCCCTGCCTTTCCTTGTCTATGTTATAATCATTCTGCCTCACTGCAGTCTCCAAATAGTAACTCTTTTTCTGTTTCTCTCAATTTTCCTGTCCATATCTGTCAGTAAAGGCTATCTTTTACAGCAGTTGGCTGATACTCTCTACAACACGCCCTCTCAGGTTCACCCTCATGGCCCTGGATTTTTCTCTCTATGGCACTTTCAAATGTTGCTACCATTAGTGACACTCCTCTTACGTGATGGGAGTCACTCTGCATCATTATGGCCATGGTTCCTTCCCATCCTTTCTGAAAGGTTCAGCATCCTTCTGAACATTTGCTAAACTACATTGCCTTTTTTTTTTCTTTAAACAGGGCTTTTTTGTTACCAGCTCCTGCTTTCATGGCCTCCAGAGGTTTGATTTGGACTCGTAAATTCACCCGTGAGCCCTAACAGAATTTCTTCCTTTACTTCCCAGCAGTTCTTAGCTGTTCTCTTGTCTTAGAGTTTTGCTGTTGTATCTTATCTTCAGGATTGATTCCGAAAGCATTTATTTGCAGGAACAAATCTTACTAATGCAAGCTGCCTTCAGATCGGATCTTTGGAGTGCACAATAAGCCTGTGAAATGCCCATGAAAGCAATGTCTATGTGAGCACATTACCAGGAGCAATCCAGATCCAGTGGGGTGCTGAGCGCCCGCAGCTCCCGAAGCACTGTGTGTTCAGGTCAGCAGTCTGTGCTGTGCCTGGCACCAAAGGCACTGCAGTGCTTTGAGAGCAACAAGAGACCGGGGATGGGCTTCAGGCCAGTGTAATGGAAGTTTCTCCCTTGTTGGAAACCTGCCTT